CCCCAAAACCCCAAAACCCCAAAACCCCAAAACCCCGTGGCATTTCTCACACATTGATTCGTTACATAACAAAGAATTCAGCTTTTCCGTTACAGTTTCTCAACTAATCCCAAATCTATGAGAGATTGGCATGTTTCCACTACACTTTCTTCCATTGGCTTATATTTTAGGCCAAGTTCCTTTGCTAAAAATGAGCCATCAACTTCGGCATGGATGTTCCATATAGAGTGGTAAAACTTGGCATCCTTATTGAAGAAAGCTCCTATTCTTACAAGGCACTTGCAAAGTTCTTTATTTTTCACTTTATTCTTCCAATTCATCTCATACAGGTTTGAGAAGTTGACTCATTTTGAAGGTGCCATTCGCAAGAGGATACCTCTCTCCATCTTTGCCTCTTTCAATAGCATTTATATGGGCGAAGGCGACATCCTGAACATCTACGCTGGCTATATAGACAACTGGGAGTCCTGACAGTTTATTTTCTAGAGCACTTTTAAAAATCCAAGAGAAGTTCCTTCAGCACGTGGTAATAATGTTTTACCAGTGATGAATCCAGGATGAACAGTCATCATCTCAAAGGTCTTTTTAGAAGGCTCAAGGTTCTCCATGAATTCAAAAGCGTATCTTTCAGCTCTGATTTTGCTTAAATAGTAAGGAATCATTTTCCTTTGCTCTTTAACAATGGTCTTGTGGCCAGATACTTTATCTGGAGTTTCCCAAAAGTCTTGGATTGTCAGAGCAGAAGAGGTTATAATTAGTTTCTTAACATCAGAGCCAACACAAGCATTTAACATATGCTCATTCCCTTCTATAGCTGGTTGAATGACTTCTTTCTCTGCATTTTTCGGGGTACTTATAATGGGAAAGGAGAAGCAACATGAAGGACGTATGTAACTCCTTCTATTGCTCTCTTCATAGCTGTCTTATCTTGCAAATCAGCTGAAACAAATTCAATCTGATCATAATAATCTCCAAATCCCTTTCTAAGGACTTCCATCTTACTTTCATTTGTATGATCTCTTACAGTACCTCTCACTCTGTACTTTCCAGTTTTGATGAGAGTGTGCACTCACCAAGAGGCTACATAACCAGAGACTCCAGTTACTAGGACTAGGGGCTTATCATATGAGCTTTCCATTTAAAATTAGTTTAAACTTGTACAAATTACTCTTTTTTATAGTATCATATCAATCCTTAATTCCCGATAAGGGGTTTTGGGGTTTTGGGGTTTTGGGGTTTTGGGGTTTTGGGG